AATATAATATATATATATATATATATATATATATATTTAGTTTCTCAAATTTGGGATATATTTTTTTTCTTTAAATTTAAAATTTTTGTTTTTATTTCTTATAATTTTAAAAAAAATATTGTTTTGTTTCTCAAGTTTAAAACTTTATCTCTAAAATATATAAATTATTATTTTAATTCATTTCAATTTGTCATTATTTGTTATGATATTGATGACTAAAATAATATTTTTAAAATTATATAGATTAAAAATATAAATTTTAAATTTGAGGTAGTAAAATAATATTTTTAGATAAAATGGGAACTTAAATAATGTTTTAAGATCTTTTGTTTCTTCCCTTCAATCTGCATGTTTAATTCTTTGCTTGGGAAGCATGGGAAAATTGATGAAGTTTTGATAAACACAATTCAATTTCTCTTCTTATCTATCTTATCTTAGTTCCATACTCAGTAATCCAATAATCAAGATTCAGAAAAAAGAAAAAAGAGGGATGAGAGAAAGAAGTGAATATGAAGGAAAATCAATTATTTTGCTCTGCCTAGGGAAAAAAAATACCCCTTCACACTACAAAATTAGTTTAGTATTAATTACAAAATAAATGTTTTTCTTAATCTATATACAAGGATATTTATAAATCTCTCGTTCTAATTTCTACATTGTCCAAGTTAACCAAACCCGTCAATTATTCTAACTACCGCCTCTTAAAATGAACCTTTAATATATTGGAACCTCTTGATTTATAGCAAAAGATGTCACGAGTCTTTCGGAGTTTATAAATAAATAAATTTTTTATTTTAATTTTATAATAGGGGTATTAGATAAATATTTAGTTAAGAATATATGTTTAAGTTAGGTCGGATGTACGTCTAAAATGTATTTTGACAAATCTCGTATACAAAACGTGTCGACTACATTATGCAGATGTATCCGTGCTTATCAAGAAATTTAAGAGATGTGATACTGTTATCGAAAATCTATGTGTATTGAAATTCATTCAGTTATTGGCCTAAAATTAATTATATGAAAAAATAAAAATAAGTTTGGATGAGGAATTTTATAAATTTAAGAAATTTAAAATTTTTTATATTTAAATTATTTTGATTTCAATTTTTATCATTCTTAAAATATTTTGTTTAGATAAATTAATTTTAAATTTTTAAAATTTTTAATTTTTAATTTGGATATGATAATTTAATTTCATCATGGTAAAATTAATTTTAAAAATATATTCATATGTAGAGATTTTTAAATTAAATTTTATAAAAATAAATATTAGTCAATTTTAAAATATTTAATAATTTTAAAAAAAAAATATTAGATAATATTTAATGATTTTAAAAATATTATTGAATATTCAATAATTAAAAAAATGAAGAGATAAAAGATAAGATGAAATATATAAATGAAATAAGAAAAATAAATATGAGAAATTTCAAATTTTTACTTTTTTGAAAATATTTAAAATTCTACTATTTTAAAAAATTTCACAAATTTTTTGATTTCAAATTTTTTGTAAATTTTCTATTCAAACAAAGAAGTTTACCTCAAAAAATTTAAAATTCTTCAAATAAATAAATTACTCTATTTAAATTTTCTATCCAAACAATTTAAAAAAAATTATATTTATGTGACTACTATAGTAAGTCACAAAATATATTTGACCTAATCTTGTTTCTTTTCTGACGGTAACACGTTGAAAATTGATTTCCTATTGGAAATTTAAACATGCCGGACTATTATCCTCTTGGAAAATTTATTCCACTAAACTTTAGCAAGAAAATGAACTATAAAACGAAACTGATGACTTAAGCACATACATTTCCAAATTAACAACCCAGTAAACAGCATCTATGTAGTATACAATAACCATACAACATATGTTGAGATTTCAGCTATCATTTCCATTGCAGCATAATTCTGCACAACAGTTGAGGCAACCGAAGCATCCTAAGCCAACACAAAGCTGAGTGAGTGCAACTGCACATTGGTTGTTTATCTTGGTACATGCCTTGATGCAGCACATGCAACAGCAGTAACTGCAGAAGGTGCTACAACAATTTGTGGCTGCCTTAACAAAGATTTCAGCACTGTCAGGCCCTTTTGTGTCTTGAGATCCTGGTTGAATGTTTTCAACAGTTGCAGCCAAGTCACCAAATCCTATACCTAAGTGAGGGAGCAAAAACGTTCTCTCGCCTGGGGCATTTGCTCCACTCTTAGGATGGCTCTTTTTTGACACCTTCTTGCCCTGATTGGAAGGACCAACAGAAAAGGAAGCAGGATTTTATTTATTTAAAAAAGCTATGTATTATGTAAAACCACAATAGCAAATTGGATTTTGAGCATTCAATTAAAACAGGCAAGCAAACTGACTAAATGTTGGTATTTCTATGTCATATTGATATTAGTATTACCATACATGTAATACAGAAAGGATCAAGTTTCAAAGCATGAAATGACCAAATTGGTTTACGCAAGATGATATGTATTTTATTAGGAAATAGAACCTCAAACTTTTGATACATACTTCTTTCTTTCCACCTGATTCCTTGGCTTTCTTTAGACGCTCATCATTCTCGAGAATTGTCATACGCGTGTACTCGGATTGAAAGCCAGTTTGTAAGCTTAGTTTTGCAACCTGCCAATTTAAATGATGTGACAAGAAAGAATTTTAGAGAAAAAGAAATGGACGAATATCAAATAGAGGAACAATTACTAAAATATGAAAGTAATTCAACTCAAACCATGCGAGTACGTGGAGATAGAACAGAAACTAATAACAAACCTGCTCTTCTAATTTTTCATCTTTTGAGAGCCATGCTTGAGCAGTAAGATACTCTATTTGATCTCTTGCACAAATCTGTTGAAGAAAAAGTAGTGCAGCAGAATAACAATTAGCAGTAAAGGAAATGAAACAAAATAACAAAAATTGTGCATATTAATTACGAGGGTAACTGCAAGTTCGCAAGAGTAAGATGAAGGATACCAGTACTTTAGGTACATATGCACACCTTAGAAAGATAAAGAAGGTCACTTTTTTTATGTACCCACAGAAATAAGGAATGGATGAAAAAAAGGAATTATGACTAGATTGTCTAGCTCCTAATTCAACAGATCTTCTACCAATAGTAAAATGTGACTCACATAACACTCTCATTAAATAACAGATACTTCAAAGTTCAAAGAGGATGGCAGAGTACCAAATAGATTCCTAGCATCCATAAACAAAATTTGGAATATCCTCTCCAGAAATTTTAGATATCACTTCAGCTAAAAAAGAATACAAAAAAATTGAATTTTAAATAAGCAAGGTAGTGCAAAGAGCATTACCCTTTGTACAGGTATGTCCTTAGCCTCTTGAATCTTCATATCTATTACAAAATTACTGAAATCAGCCAAGACACCTTTAATTTCTAGATCTTTGGGAAAACTTCCCTTGTATCTTCCAGATAAAATCAGAAGATCATCTGAGGAAAGATCTGGAATATGGGAGGGGCACACCTATCATAAGATATTACCAATAACGCCATTAGAGTGAACAAGTTAAGACGAAGTTAGATAAATATGCAACATGTAATAGCACACATGTTACAGAAAATCAATTGCCATAGTTGACAGGGCATGTGAATCTCATCTTGGCATTATTTATGAGTCCTTACTCTAATATTTCTCCAAAGAAAATATGAACAGGAAAAAAAATAAAAAGAAACAGAAAAATGTATCCCCTAAGGCATCAAGGAACTGCAGAGCTCAGTAGGAAGAGTATAGGAACTAAAAAAGAAGTCACTGGCTTGTTTTACTTTATCAGAGCGATAAATTCAGGATCTGTAATGAATTACTCCATCAATAAACTTCTGAATGTGATTTTCTTTCGGTTTCCCTATTTTCTAGTCCAGGTTCTATCAGACAGATATCAATATTTTGAGCTTGGATTAAGGTAGAACAACTGAAGCAAATGGATAAAAGTCATGATAGGCAATTAGTGAAATTAAGTGAAAAAGAAAAACACGGGTGACCCACTATTGCCTTATATGTATTAGCCAGGCACCAGTAAAATATTTTACCTCAACTTCGTCTAGATCATTGAATATGTCCATTGTGATATTTGCAAGAACAAGAGATGAAGCTTTGTCAAACAATTTCAGCATCTGAGGCTCGACCAAATCTGGCAATAAATAATTCAAATTGGTCATAATGCCACTGAAAAAACTTGTGTTGCAGAACACCAAAAGTATTTTTGAAAAGGTGACAAAAATGCTAAATCAGCCCACCTACTAGTAGGTAGCCAATCAGCAATTTTACTCTACTTCTGTTTTAAACATTTATGCATCTCTTGCAATTGAACAAGAGGAACGGTGTCTTTCGATAAACACTGTGTAACTTATGTGCAAAACCATTGTAGGACCTCATGATTGAATACACTGCATTTAGTTTACGGCTAGTCAACACAATCAGGTGCTCCAAATAGAGTGCATAATGTTACAACCAACCTTGGAATAATGTAATTGCATGTCAGGTATATGTTCATTGACATGGTTTGAAGATCAAAATTTCTCTAGAATCCAAAATTTCCACTTAGCTTATCATAAAAAAAAATGATAAACAATGACAATGATATTTACTTTTTGAAGTTAAAATTCAGAACTTGCCTACATCCAATGCTGCAACATGTTGACCCCGACCAATCATAGCAAGCATCCGCAAGAAATAATGATTGCAGAATAAACCTGTGATTGAATGAGGTTTTACTATTAACATAGGCAATAATCTAATAACAAAATTTCACAATTAATGAAAAAGTTTAAGAATCTTTAAAATTTAATTGGATAAGAATGTAGTATTATTGTTAAAATCCAATCCAGGCTTGAAATACTGAAAAGAAGAAATCATACCTATGCCGAAAGTGTAAATTCGGGGGGATATTAACTCTCCATTGTTCATATGATTCTTCATCATATCACAAATTTGCCTCTCATCTTCAACAGTTCCATCTGTAACTAGGAAAATAATTGGAACTGAACTTTGAGCATCAGATAGCATCTCTATTGCCTGAAAGAAAAGACAAAGTAAAAATATACAAATATACAATACAACTCTAACCAATGACAGTGAGCAGAAAAGAACTATGAATCTATGATGACATTCAACAATCATAAAAGCTAGTCTGACATATACACAAAGACGAGATAAAACGATTTGGTTCTGCATGCTGCATGCATCAAGTTGAGCAAATATTGATTCGTTTGTTTTGTTCGGTGGACATTGTTAATCTAATATTAACTAATGTATTTACAGAATAATTTTAAATGAAAAGATGTTTAATGTAATAATTGTTGGATTTAAAATATATTAAAAGTTATTGAAAATTATTTTAAAGTTATTAAAATTAATTATCTTTCTTCTCACTTCATTAAAGGTAATTTTGACATTAAAAAAAAAATTTGAAAAAGAGAAGTTATGGAAGTTAAGTTGATTTTTATTAATTAGTGTAATCTCTTTCTTTCTCTCTTTCACAAAGAGTTCTTGTTTTTTATGTATGAAGAAAAACAAACTTGGTTTTTTCATGAAAAAAATTATGAGAACTTAGAGAATTATCAACAATCAAATAAAGAGATTTCAACATTATTATAGAGACTAATTAAAAGAAGTAAGACAAGAGAGAACAATTTATTATAAATTTTGAATTGCATTATAGATTCTAGTATGTTTTCTAAACTTTCTCATAAAAATTATGAAGTATAAGAATAGTTAGAAATATATTATTTAAGATCCTTTAAGTCTTTTAAATGATAAATCCTATAAAATTACATATGATCATAAAATTTATTTACATTTAATATGAGAGCAAAGTTAGAAATAATATATTTCTCCATCAATGATCTTTTGCTCCGCAATAGATATATGTCTTTATTTGCAATTCACTTGAATTGTTTCAATATGAAATCTGTCACTATGCGCATACTAAAGCGAATTCATTGCAAAGTTCCCCAACTATGTGCGCATAAAATTTGCTTTATCGTACTTGAATTGTGTTAATTCTTAATTCATTGAATATATATAAAGGTTTCAATTCCTTTTAACATCTACGAGCACATATAAGATTTTCGATTGAAATCATTTTTTTAATTCAATTAATAATCAAGTCATTCATTGTGCTGTGCGCAAGTCATTCACTACGCGAATTGTTTTAATGTCAATTGAATGCATTTTGATAGGAATATAATAGCCAGGCCAGAATGTTACCATATTGGGCTAAAGACTACTTAATGAATTAGTGAATATGATGTTGAATTGGGCTTTATTGTAATTGTTTTCCTCCAAGGTCTTTAGACCATTGTAAGGGTATATAACCCTGGGTCACCGCCGAATGAAAGGAAAGAAAATTTCTGAATTTAGATTTTATTAGATTTGTTCTTGTAGACCTAAATTCTCTGTAGTCTCTATCAAATTGGTGCTTTCATTGCTATGGCTCCTAAGCCTAATCGGGATGCGGACCTCAACCGTGATGAGGCCATTGCCAACCTCACTTCTCAAATTGCTGATTTACAGGTACAATTGTCCCAACAAACTCAAATTCACGATGAACGTCATGCTGCTTTAACCACTCTTCTGTCCGGGCTGATAGACACCTCACCCAACAACTGAACACGCCACCCGTAGTTAGTTCCACATCCCTCCCATCATCCCCACCTCTCGCCGTGCCTGGTACCCTTGGCCTAACCGCTCCATTGATTTCCAACCCACTGCCATACAATTCCTCCCCAACATTTTCTACCACTACATCTTCTACCTCGCACCTACATAACCCATACGTTCCACCGTTTCCTCATAATAATTTTTTCGTCAATCCCAACCCTAACCCTATCCCATACACCACTCCCATGGCCAATACTATCTCTTTTCCTTCCACCATCTGCCCTCCCAAGTTACAACTATCCTTATTTGATGGTTCTGAGCCTTTGGATTGGATTTTCCAAGCTGAATAGTTCTTTTTGTTTTATCAAGTGCCTTGGGAACAACGGGTTCCTATGGTGGCCTTCTATATGAAGGGCGAAGCCTTGAGTTGGTTCAAATGGCTGTATTCTTTGAATCAATTGGGGGATTGGACATGTTTTAGCCAAGTGCTAGAATTACGATTTGGGCCATCTACGTATGAAAATCATCAAGGTACATTATTCAAACTCAAACAATCTAGATCTGTGGGTGAATATCAGGCCTGTTTTGAAAAATTGTGTAACAAAACTGTTGGCTTATCCCATGAAAATTTGTTGAATTGTTTCTTGTCCGGCTTAAGCCCACCCATTGAGCGTGAGCTCAAAATCCTCAAACCTTGCAACCTGACATAGGCTATTGGCATGGCTAAACTGGTGGAGGAAAAATTATCCGACGCTACGCCTAAATTCTCTCGCCCAACCCTCCCCACATCCACGACCTCCCATAACACCCAAGCTCCCAACTGTACCAAATTGCCCTCGCCACCAGATCTTACCCAATCTACCTCCACAAATTCACCAAAAATTCCCATAAAAACCTTATCCACGCAACAAATGCAAGAACGTCGAGCCTTGGGTCTTTGTTATAACTGTGATGAAAAGTTTATGCCCGGCCATCGATGTAACACTCCCAAATTCTTACTTTTATTGTGTGACGAGGAAACCGACACCTGCCCGTTCTTTATTGACACTCCACCAGCCGATTACAGATTCGATCCGCAACTTTCAGCCACGCACCACTCAAGCAATGACATGTAGCAACCTTGAGGACAAGGTGCTGACTCAACCGGGGGGCATTGATAGGAATATAATAGTCAGGCCCATAATGTTACCATATTGGGCTAAAGACTACTTAATGGATTAGTGAATATGATGTTGAATTGGGCCTTATTGTAATTGTTTTCCTCCAAGGTCTTTAGACCATTGTAAGGGTATATAACCCTGGGTCACCGCCGAATGAAAGGAAGGAAAATTTCTGAATTTAGATTTTATTAGATTTGTTCTTGTACACCTAAATTCTCTGTAGTCTCTATCACATTTTTTTTTGGAACTCACACTAAAAGCAATAATTAATTTTAATAGAATGTATCTATTTCTAAATTTGAAGTGCACGAAGTAGGACAAGATTATTAGCAATAATTGATATTTGCTTTGTGTGTATATGGATTTCTGTACAGTATAGTATTTGAAAAGGAATTGTAAAATTAATCTTTTATTTTTTTTTTGTATAGAAAGAAGTGTTTTTGAATTATACATTAAAGTAAGACATTTTAATCACCAAAGTGATTTAATATATGAGTTTATAATTTCAAGTTACTTGATTGATTAGAATAATGGCGTTATGTAATTAATATGTTTAGGTTGTTTAAAATTGTTGATTATAAGGCATATATAGATTACTCAAAGGTGAATCATTTTTTATAATTAATGGTATTAAAGATTTTATTCAGGCCTGTTGAGTGCATGTTATCTAAAGATAACATGCATGTCAAGAATAGCATAATTTATTGTCCATTAAAGTATATTTGTTTTGCGTCATTGTTCATGTGGATATGTATTTATTTATCACCGAAAGGTGAACTTAGATACACGATTAAATTTGATGTAGTTTGAATCCATTATTATACTCAAAACATTAATGCGTGAGTTTATTTAAATGTAAGCAATTATGTCCAATATGCTCACTTTAGGTAACTTAATGATCAAGTTCAATAGGATAAATTATGTTGATTGGTCTAAAATGATCCAGTTTCAACTAAGTGTAGTGAACTTAGACTTAGCATTGGTAATGGATGAAAGTCCTCCAATCATTACAGAGACCAATATCAATGCTAACAAGTCTCTCTATGAGGCTTGGGAGCGGTCTAATAGATTGACTCTGAATTTGATGAGATTAACTATGATTACAATGTAAGTCATCTATGCCCAAAAAAAAAATAATGCAAGGGAATTCATGAAATTGGTCAAGGATTACTTCATTACTGATAAGTCAATTGTGGGGAATCAAGTGAATTGACAAACAAAATGTTTAATTGGTCTCAATCAATTCATGATCATGTGACAAAAATGGCTAATATGGCAACAAAGTTAAACTCCATGGGAATGAAAGTGAGTAAGTCCTTTCTGGTACAATTTATTTTGAATTATCTTCCTGTTAAATTTGGCCAATTTCAAGTGAACTATAACACTCTTAAGAAAAAATGAAAATTTCAAGAAATTAAGGCCTTGTTAATTTAGGAGGGAAGTTAAAGAAAATGAAGAATAACTCAATTCATCTCATGACTCATGATGCATATGGAGTTAGTACTAGCAAATGCAAGCTGAGTAAGAAGAATAATGGATAATTCCAATTAAAGGTTAAAGATGGAGGAGTCCATAAGGAAAAGAAGTGTTATTTCTATAAAGCAAGTGACCACTTCAAGAAGGATTGCCTAAAAAAACAAAAAGAAATAGTTTGAAATAAAAAAAAAGTATTTTTTATATCTGTAAACTTTGAATCAAATCTTGTTGAGGTACTATTGGGAAAAACCCAAGTCCCACCAATCCTAGATCATTAAAAAAGGGTCACCCACCATTTATCTACGTACCAAGCCTAATAGTGCTGGACGTGAGGGGGTGTATTGGGAAAAACCCAAGTCTCACATCGACTAGAGATTAGGCAATTAAATAGTATATAAGTGAAAAGCAACTCTTACCTTACAAGCCGGTTTTATAGGGTTGAGTTAGGCTTAATCCACTATTCTAAGATGGTATCAGAGCTATCCTAAATTCTTAAAAATGGGTCACCCACCATTGATACATGCACCATAGGCATGAGGGGGTGTATTGAGAAAAACTCAAGTCTCGCCAATCCTAGATCATTAAAAAGGGTCACCCACCATTTATCCACGTACCAAGCCCAATAGTGTTGGACGTGAGGGGGTGTATTGGAAAAAACCCAAGTCCCACATCGACTAGAGATTAGGCAATTGAATAGCATATAAGTAGAAAGCAACCCTCACCTTACAAGCCAATTTTGTAGGGTTGAGTTAGGCTTAATCCACTATTCTAAGAGGTACCTTATAACACATGTGACTTAATTCTAGAGCAACTACTCATGTGTCACATATTATGTAGGGAATCTTTTCAATCCAAATCATAAGAGGAACTAAAAAGTTTCTCTATATGGAAAATAGAATGAAGGCAAGAATAAAGGGCATTCAAGTGTATAGATTAATCTTTAACATAGGGTGTCATGTAGATTTGGAATGATGTCAATATGTACCTGGATGTGCTAGGAATTTAAATCATCTTGAAGTGATTGGCTATTCATATTCAAATTATGCTAGATGTGTGGACTCAAAAAAAGTCTAAATTTGGGTACATCTTTCTTTTAGTTGGAGGAGCGGTGTCATGAAAAAGTGCAAAACAATCCATGATTGTCACTTCTACCATGGGGGTTGAGTTTGTGGCATGCTTTTAAGGCCACAATTCAAGCATTATGATTTTCAGGATTCGGAATTATTAATAGTATAGTTAAACCACCGAGGATTTATTATGATAACTCTACAACTATCTTCTTCTCTAAGAATGACAAATACATTAAAGGAACAAAACATATAGAATTAAAGTTTTTATCAATTAAGGAAGAATTGCATAAATATAAAGTGTCTATTGAGCCTATTGGTACAAAATTAATGATAGCAAATCTGTTGACTAAAGGCTTACCACCTAAGACATTCATTGGCCATATTGAAAGGATGGGTGTTATGGATAAGTCTTTGTTAACGATGTAGTGTGATATGTATATGTGTACATTATAGTTATATTGTTCATATTGTATGACACTTGTGAATTCAATTATAGTTGTTTATGTTTATCTTTTCATTCACATTATATGATATACATTATTACTTTAATGAGAGGATAAAACATGTCTTGGAAAGGATGATAAAGACATATGTTACAGTATTAATTAAAGTTAACTTGAATTAAATGATTTGTGATGCATGGAAGGAACCAAGTTAATATAACTTGCAACTGCCATGATTCAATCATTTTAATTTAATTAAGAATAGTCACTTGTAATTTTAACGTATGGTGCGCTCTTATAGTTTAATGTTGAATCTTTAAGTCATTAAATGAGCCAAGTAGGAGAACGTTAAATTATTTAATATAATATTGACTCATGTATTTAGGAAATGATTTTTAATGAAAAGATGTCTAATATGATGATTATTAAACTTAAAATATATTAAAAGTTATTGGAGATTATTTTTCAGTTATTAAAATTATTTCTCCCTTTTCTCCCTTCATTAAGAGTAATTTTGACATTAAAGAAAAAGAATTTGAAAAAGAGAAGTTACTAAAGATAAGTGGGTTTTTATTAACTAGTGTAACCTCTTTCTTTCTCTCTCAAAGTGTTCTTGTTTTTTAGCATGAAGAAAAAAAACTTGGTTTTTTTCAAGAAGAAAATTATGAGAACTTAGAAAATTGTCAAAAATCGGATAAAAAGGTTTTAAATAATGACCAATTAAAAGAAGTAAGAAAAGAGAGAATAATTTATTAAAAATTCTAAATTGCATTATGGACCTTGATATGTTTTCTATATTTTCTCTTAAAATTATGGAGTATATATAATAATAATAAGAAATATGTTATCTAAGATCTTTTAAGTGTGACTATCTTGAAATTACGTGTGATCATAAAATATACTTACAGTCTTTATATTAACAGCTTTGATTCAGTAATTTTCACGTTGAATGATAAAGATTAGAGGCAAAATATTTATTTATTACTAACAATACACTAACTAAATAATGGTGTTAAATATATAATTAGCAAATAATATGTCAAAACAAGAAAAATTGCATGAATAATTAAGTTACCGTGTTTAAGGGCTGCGAAATATTTGTATCACCCCCTGCAATAAAATTCATGTTAATCCACTCAATGGCCCTTTCAACAGCATCCTTCGAAGCCGATTCCATTGATTTTGAAAATTGATATATATCTCCATTAAATGCTATAATACTAAACGAATCATCAGGATGGAGCTTAGAAAGAGCAGCCGATAGTGCATTCTTTGTCTCATCAATTACCTTTCCCCGCATGCTTCCACTTATGTCAATCACAAACACGATGTCCTTTCTGAATATCTAGACATTGTAGAACCAGCAATGTGAACAAAAAGACAATTACAAAATTCTATGTATAATGCACACCTATTCTATAGAATAGGACCTTTACAAACCTTCCTACTCTGACGATTTCCAGGAGAAAGGTACATGCAGAACATCTCTCTTTGATCAAAATCATCCAAAGATGCAGATTCCAAAAGAACACCACCACTTATCTGACTTGAAGAATCCTGAATTTATACAACAAGTCAAAGTGAAGCTTTCAACAGCTGAAGCTACAAATACGAATTAATGACATTAAAAGTAGCATTGAGTCTTACAGGCACATGATATGAAAAGTTGAAATCGGTTTTTGACCACGCGAGAACATCTGACTCATACAAGAAACCCACACTCCCAGCATTCTGCCTCACTTTCTGTACAGTCAGGGAACAGAACCACATTACTTGACTAATTGGTTGTTCATAAAATATCAACACAAGAATTGAACCAAATATGAACCTTCAGGGTATGACTCATTGACTGGCAAATAAGCTCGCTTCCAGTTACAGCATTCACATTTATTTCTATCTTTTCTTTTTTGGCCATTCTCTTTCCAACAGGGTTGACAAAATCAGGAAAGTTAAAAGGCACATTCAAGCAGAACATATCATTGCTGTATTGTATCTTCTGGTGCCAACTAATTTTAACAGATAAAATGGAACCTCCATCAATCTGTTACAAGCATAACAAGCAACTTCAGAATAAGATAACAAAACCATATTTACCTAGAAAGCAATAACCTTCGGAATACAGAGACTTAATATCTACCTTCGGTATACTCAAAGTAAACAAATTAGGCCCGATAAAGCCTCCATTTTGAGCTAGGATCATATTCTCCTCACCATTGTTGTCTTTCAGATCAACCAGCTTAGTGGAATAAGATTTCCTATGAACGGTGACCTCCACACCTAGAATTGAACCCTGTTAGCCAAATGGCATCAGAACAAAAAATCTACAACTTCTTTAAAACATTATTCAAACGCAACAAGTTTGGGAGTTATTATGGCAACCTTACATATAGGGTAGTTGTCAAAGCATTTATTCGTGGCTAATTCCACAATAATTTGTATGAAAAACTATTAAATATACACAAACAACTGATAGTGGATTTGGAGTTTTGGACACTTAACAAAAAGCTGGCAATGGATTAGGAAGGCCAGAAATTCTAGCCTAGACTTTTTATTCAAATTCTGCATATGTAAGGCATGAGGGTGAGTGTTTGTAAACTTGATTTTGGGTAATATTGATTTTCCAAATTTGACCTTGATTGGATGAAAGTATGAAAAGAAAGAGTTTTTTTTTTTTTTTTTTTTTTAAATTGAGAAGCTCTCAAAATAACATAACCAAACTAGCTGTCTTGATTATAATTAAGTGTGAAAAGAAGTGGTATATACTTGGATTCTTATTTTAAAAGCAAGTTCACATAAAAATTAGTAGAAGATTCTCAACTACATTCAAAAATTTTGTTACCTTTAAATCAAAATGACCCTTTAGGGATATAATCGCGTTTGCTTGAAAACAAACACGATTTATTTTTTGAGTTTAATTTTGATATAATCTCAATGTAAACATTGTTACACTATTAACTAAACAAAATCACTTCGGATATATCTTTTAAGACTTTATTTTCTAGGCACAGCTAGTTTAATAATTTTCCCATTGTCAATTAATAAAAAAATCATAATAGTTATAATTTTTAAGACAATTATTGTAAAAATTAACAATTTTTCTTTATACCTGTTAAATTATGATTGAATGATTGTGTAAAATCTATAAACATTAGCGATACATAGAGTAATTTTTCTAAATTTTAAATTGATTATTATAAAAGACAACATTAATGTCTTATGGAAATTCTATGGTACTTACTCTTCAAAATTTAAGGTTTTGTTAATTATAAAATAAAATAAAGTTTCTCCCTCTCTCTTGGTGTGTCTAAACTTATTCAAGTGTTAACTCAAAGATTACCGAAATTCTAAGATTTATAAAGCTATCATAGCAACTCTAATATGATGACTAATTATTAGATGATAGTATAAAAGTGTTTTATATTATAAGTGCATTATAAAAAATTCAAATATTATTTATATTTACTTTAAAAAATGTGCCAAATTACAATTGACTACGGTCATCTTTGATTGATGTTGATGTGTCAATTCATAACAATAATAATAATAAATAATGTTTAATTATTAATTTTGTTCCTGTATTTATCTTCACTTTACTATTTTGATCCTGTGGGTAAAAATCTTGTAAGCTTTGGACGGGAAACCATTGTAACATTGCTATAAAAATTTTCTTATGGTGTAAAACTTTTATAAATTTTCTCTGTCGTGGAAGAAATTTTTGACAATTTAATAATCACGACTAAGTTCTGCCAAACAAATTTTGCAACTGACTCAACAACGCTAGTAACAAGATTAATGGCAAACACCAAGGCACATTAAATTTGTTCGTTCATGTACTCAGTTTTACAATACAAATTTTATATTTTTTTTTATAAGAAAGTATAACTTACTTTTACTATATTAGTTTCTATAAAGACAAAGAAGTACTTTCAATGATATTTTCAGTCACAATCCTATATTCAAGATGAAAATTAAACTCTAATCTTTTAATTAAGTAGTACACATGTTAAATTACTCTATATATATAGGAAGTATAGAAAAATATAACACTTTATGAGATATAGTTAAAATAGGTGAGAAATTAAAAATAAAGAAGTTAAAAATTAGAATTGTTTGGTTGAGATGAAATAATAAGAAAAGAAACTAAACAGTTTATATCCCACTAAAAAAATTTCCTGAATGAAGTGGTGAAAAATAGCAGGGAGTGCATGTTTTATAGAAATAAGCTTTTATGGCCTTTGATTGGGTGGGGTAAAGGTAATAAAATAATACTTTTATCTTTCTGAAGTGTCTATATAAAAAACCTGTCATGCCATTTATCGAGTTATGAGTTATGCTATATCTTCCCACAAAGTTAACCGAATGTACCTTATACAAAGTGACATTTATTATTAATTTTACCGTATAGTTTTTATCATGTTCATGTTTGACTAGTTTTTCGGCTTATCCTTCTGGAGAATTTAGCAAGGTTAGGATATACAGAATTAGTATTCTTGTTGGTAAGGTGGTTTAAACTTTTAATGTGCGTGTTCATTCAGAAAAGACTAATTATAAATTAATTTTGTAAGACTGACTTAAATTTAAATCTATCAAAAAAATTATTCGTGGTTTATTCACGTATTAAACCTGACCTAATAGTGTTGGACATTTAAAAATGTTGTATTATATTTAAAAGTGTAATAAGAGGAAGCAGGAGCACCTGATGCGGGAGGGGCATGGCGATGAGGCAATCGCAGGAGCGGCTGCCGGAGATGCAGTGGAGTCTCCAGGCGGCGGAGAGGGAGAGGGAGGCGGCGGCGTTGAGGAAGCAATGGGCGGCGAGGTTGAAGGAATTCATGTGGAGGGGAATGAGAGCGGGAGGGTCACACTTGCCGTGGACGTAGGGCTGGTAGCTGGGAACATCGGGGTTGTCGACGATTGAAGGGTCATTTATAACAGCGTAGAGCATGGGCGCGGTTGGGAGGTAAGCGGTGTGGGACTTGGACATGGTGGGAGGGGGTCTGGGCGGCGACACGGCCCTGTCATTGCCGAAGTATATGCGCTTGGAGAGGCGCAGCCCCTCCTCCACCGATTTCGAGAATTCCTCGGCCATCGTTTTTCGGAGAGATTAAGGAAGAACAAGGTTGAAACAGAGGGAGGAGGGAGACATCTCAAACCCCCACTCCCTCAATTTCCATTTCCAACCCCCTTTCGTGTTTGTCGCTCGCGGGGGTTAAAAATAGCTACCTACATACTTTTTAGTTATACTACCCCTACGCCCTACGAGCCACGTTCCTCTTCTCATCGTCTCATTCAACTGTCTTGTCTTGTGTTGACACTTGACATTAACTTCCCCTCTCGTTCGGCTTCGCTTTCCTTCTCCTTGGTCCTTTCGTTGGTGTTTCCGTGTCACACTCGCACCCTTCCTCTTCATTCAACACGGTTTCATCATTAATTTCCATGTTTTAAAAAACTCTTGATAATAGATGTGCAGAATAAATTATACAAACGATTTATTATTATTAGTGGAGACGTAGTTCGTGCTTTTAATAATTATATATATATATAATATTATAAGGTTATTTGTAATTATTTAAAAAGTATATAAGTTTTTTTATATTTTTTAATATTTAAAAGATATAATAGTTTACTAAAAAAAGTAGAGACTAAAAGCGGTTAAATATCTTTGTATCTTCTTTATAATAGGTATAGATATAATGTAAAATTTGTAAAATATTTATGTGGAAAAAAAATTACGTACATAAAAGATTGGTTTGAGTTAGAGGAAAATACTTAATATATTTTTTGATACACATTTTTAGGCTATTAATGTAACTTAAAAATTAAAGGTATTTGAATATGTTATATGATATGGAGTTAAGGTATATATAAACCATTGCAATATAATAATAATAATAATAAAAATAATAAATGAAGCTCACAAAAGTGTTAATATTTTGAAAGGAAATCATGTTTTGAATTATTTGTAAAAAGCAAAGTAAAATCATAAACAAAAGAAAATATTTGCCCTTTTTGGCCAAAATCATGTTGATATATTACATGATTCAAAGGAATTTCTCACTTTTGGTTAGTGCATTTGTGTGTTTATTTTCTAGATTTTTGACTTTATAAAGGATGTTTCTTAATTAGTTGTTATTTTTACTGATTTTTCTTATCCTGTTTTGCAAGGTTGCTTCTTCATATTATGTGTCCATTGTTTTAATTTGGATGACTTTCTCCTTAAATAACCTTTTTTGTTTTTTTATTTAATGTCAATGTGACTTCTATTTTTTCTTGAAGCTTTTGTCTTTATCTTGATCTTTATATTATTACTATTTCATAAAATAGTAAATATAATTGTTCTGACCACTACAAGAAAATGACGATTTTGCGACGGTTATATGGCTCACTTTGATTATTTCAAAAATGTTTGATTTGGTTTAGTTAGGTTCATCCAAAAATGATGAAACCTAGCTAAATCAAATCTATGAAAAATTAGGAGCAAAATGAGTCCAATATGTAAAATTTTGCCTAGGCCCAATTCTGGCC